CTGACCCGTCGATCCTCTCCGCCACCGGCTCCGGCACCATCCCCCACGACCCCATATCCTCGTCTGTCGGCCCCACCGCGACCGCTTCCCAAACGCAAACGCATACGCCGAGTGGCCTAGATCTGTGTCAACTGCACTTTCCCGGTAATGGCTACGCTCACATGCCGTTCACGGCATTTCTTTTACAGCCGATGACGACGACGGCAGTTGCATCGGAGGCTGAGCCGGAGACTGCGGCGGTGGCGGCGGGTCCCAAGCGCCGTCGCCGGCACTAGCAAAGCTAGGGTTCTTTATTTCTCTTTTTTGCATTTTCTCTTTTAATTTAATTTACTTTCTTGGATCGTTATATATGCGCAGCTTTTGAAATTATAAACATGGGTTTTGCTCTTATGGAGATTAAAAATTACGACGATCTGAGGTTTTGAGTCATGTACAAAAGCTGTTAAATTACAATATTATATTCTCACATTATTTATGCCTCTATATTCTATAAAACTTCCTAGTAGACAAATGTGTGTATATATGTAAATGTTTTCCTGATATTATATATATTTTTTTTGTTTCTTTGAATCTTTTGGGAACAGTTATAATCTCGTTTTTAGAGTTTCTGTTTGTCTCTGATTCAATCTCTCGAGGTTTCTTGCAAGTCAAGTAACGACTTCTCTATCGTCCTCCAAGGTTGGTTATATATATCCCCAGTTCCGAGGGGCTTTTGTATGGGCCTTTATGGGCTTTCAAATTGGGCTTTGTAGTTTGTAGATTTTCAGATTTCGCTCGAGAAATTGTTTGTTGAGTATATATAGTGTGTGTAAATTACGTAGAGATTAATTAAAAATTATTCATAAAAAATATTTCAAGGTAAGCATGTGCTTTTTATTTGAAAATATTATTAAGTGTTCGACATATAAACACAGGTCCGTAATTTCTAAAAAAAATAAAATACATATATAGTTTCCCGGAAATTTTTATGTTTTAAAAACAGTAAAATTAAACAATGATTTCACGGGAACCTGTAAATTTTTAAAATTTATGTATTTACGATGAGTTGGTGTGTTATATGAGGGGCAAAGAGTTTGATATTTTTATTCTCTCTTTTTTTTTTTAAAGCATTTAACAACAACAGAAAATTACTTTGTAAACTTGGGCCAATTCTACACACAATATAAAAATGTAAATGATACAAATCCCAATCGTTACACAATTTTGGTCACTAAGATATAGGGATGGGGGCTCCGTTCCACTCCTTGAGACATTCCATCATGGGATCAATGATCTTCCCTTCGCACATGGCCGTGAAGACCTTGTCGAACTCCTCTCCCGGCGACCGGACTTTCTCTCCGGTGAGCAGCTCCGTCCCCAACTCTTCCCTCACGAATCTGTACAATGGGTACGACCTGCATTCCTTGATCCTGTTCGGGATTGTCATCGTACCTTCCTCGTACGCTGCTCTAATGGCGTCCACTTCCTTTGGTAACACCATTTTAAGCTCCTCCTCGAAAGCTCCGATCTTGTGGAAGATTGATACTGCCACGTTCTTCTCGTTTTCGCCGTTGGATAATGCGTAGTCCACGAGGATCTGTCTCAGTTTCTGGATCAATGGGTATGTCGAGTTGCAGGGATCGTCTGCGTAGGTGAAGACGTGTTCGCGATCCACGACCTTGAGTAAATCCTTCTCGCAGAAGCGTGATGGGTGAAGTTCGCCATTGATTCCTGTTGTCAAGACCTTCTTCGCCACTTGGGAAACTGCGTTCTTCACTGTTTGTTTCAGATTCTCCTCCAAATGCCTCAGATCCACGGCTTGGCACAACGCGACGAGGTAAGTCGTCGACATTAGCTTCAGGATCTCTATGGCTTCCGCGGTTTTGCGGGATGAGATAAGTCCGAGGGAGTTCACGTCCTGGTTGTGTTGCTCTGCGGATTGGACATGGCTGGTTACAGGATTCGCAAGGTATTGAAGCTCGGAGCAGTAGGAAGCCATGGCGATTTCCGCTCCTTTGAAACCGTAATCCAAGCTTGGGTTTCTTCCCGCGGTGAGATTGGAGGGGAGGCCATTGTTGTAGAAGTCATTGACGAGCTCGGAGAACTGAGCGAACATGAGCTTACCGATGGCTGCGATTGCGAGACGAGAGTTGTCCATGGAAACTCCGATCGGTGTTCCCTGAAAGTTCCCGCCGTGAAGCGCCTTGTTCCTGGAGACATCGATCAATGGGTTGTCGTTGACGGAGTTGATCTCGCGCTCGATCGATTTGGTCGCGTGACGAATCACTTCGATCTGAGGGCCGAGCCATTGCGGAGACGTACGGAGAGCGTAGCGGTCCTGTTTCGGCTTCTGCAATGGATCCATCTCATGGATCTTCTGAGCAAGCTTCATGTAAGAGCTCCCATCGAGGATGTGCTCCATTATCGCCGCCGCTTCGATCTGCCCAGGATGATGCTTCAGCTTATGAGTCAAATGATCGGTGAACTCTGGTTTCCCGGTCATCACCTCCGCGAAGATCGCCGATAAAACCTCGGCTAAAACGGCGAGAACGTTCGCTTCGAAGAGTACCATCGACGCCAAACCAGATCCAACCGCAGTACCATTGACGAGCGCGAGACCTTCCTTGGGCTGGAGATCGAAGAACCCGGAGGTGATTCCGGCCAATTTGAAAGCCTCTTCGGCGGTTAGGGTTTCGCCGTTGGGACCCGTAGCCTTGGAATTGGGACGGCCGGTGAGGAGTCCGGCGATGTAGGAGAGGGGGACGAGGTCCCCAGAGGCGGTGATGGTACCGCGGAGAGGGAGACAAGGAGCGATGTTGTGGTTAAGGAGACTGGTTATGGCTTCTAGTATCTCAAATCTGATCCCTGAGTATCCTTGAAGGAGTGTGTTGATCCGAACAAGCATGGCGGCCCTCGTGGCCGAGTGCGGCAGTGTGTGGCTTTTCTCCGCCGCGCTCCCGAAAATTCCGGCGTTCAGGAATCTGTATGGGCACGTGGGATTTCATTATTTAGTGATTAATTAATTTTTATTAAAACGAAATTTTAAAATTCATGACCGGATGTAAACCGGCCCGGTTTACTTTGGTTAAGTTCGTTCCCTCCCGCGCAACGTAATTACAGTTTCCACCATGCGAATTCAAAAGAACAAAATCAGTTAAGGTTACTAACCTGATAAGCTCCTTCTGGAGCGCGACGCCATTTTTAGTCCTCCGGTGAGAAGTGGCGCCAAATCCAGTGGTAACGCCATAACTGTCGGTACCTTTGTTCATGCTCTCCATCACCCAATCGCTGCTCGCCTTCACGCCGGCCCTCGCTGCCTCCGACAGCTCGACCTTGGCGCCGTCGTTCCCAGCGGCGGAGATCGCCGCGACCTGACCGATCGTCAGCGTCTCTCCGCCGAGCCTGACCACCGGTCTCCGGAACTCCTCCACCATCCTCTTCACCTCCTCTAAATGGCTCCCCTTCATCTCCTCCGCCGCCGCTCCCCAGTTCAACGGATCCTCCGCCGAAGCCGCTGGAGATCCGCATAGCTTCTCTAGACCTCCACCGCCGACGATGACCTGCGAAGCGACGACCTCCATTGATTCGAAAATGGAAACAGGAGAGAGAGAGAGAGAGAGAGAGAGGGAGAACTAGGGTTTGGTGGAGAAGAAGATTTGAACTTGTTGGCGGAGGAAAGTGGGGGATTTTGCTCCTGAGGAAGAAGGGAAGAGAGAAGGGTAGGTTTAAATAAGAGGGAGAGAGGGGTGGGAATGGGTGAGAGTTTGTTGGTAGGTAAGCGCAAGAGAGAGCCACGGAAAGAAAGAGAGACTTTCAACACAAAATACGATTTCGAAATAAATAATTATTTAAAAAACAGAAAAGAGGGGGTTGGTGGAGAGTTAATTACAACCGTTGGATTAAAGAGGAGATCGAACGGTTTAAAGAAAAGCGTGGTTTTGTTCTGCGTCGTAAAAGAGAGAAATTTTTGACGCAGTGGTGGTCATCGATCGACGGTACCGAATATCTAGTACACACAACGATATCTAAATTAGATTTGATATAATTTCTAAATAACATATAATTATATTTAATAAAGTATTTTACAGATGAAAAATCAATTTTGATACCGAAACAAATATAATTTATAATTTGAATAAATTTAACAGTCATTATATCAAAAATACATTTATTATGTTATTTTTACTTCAACATATACTATTTTTCATTTGTGACCATGTGATCTAAAATATAGTATGATCATATTTTAATTTTATTGATTACAACGTTAAATTTATGGCGATCACACTAATTCGTTATGTTTGTATATTATATATCTTACCAATCATTTGATTAAAACATCATAAATTTAATATTATGAATAATTAGATCAACAATTGATAACACTGTATTTCAGATCATATGGATCACATGGTCACAGTTGGAGAATGATATATGATGAAGTCGAAACAGCAAAGTAAAAGTATTTTTGATAATGACCCAATTTAATATATTAGTTTTGAGTATCAAAATTAGTTTCTCCGGAAACGAAAAATCTAAATCCAAAAATAAAATAATCGAATTTGAACCGAAAAATCAAAATACATACCTTTGATTAGTTGTTAATCAAGATGACCATTCTGCTTTGTTTAGATAAAACCGGACAAAACCAAACAAAAAATACATAATTATATTCAAATCAATTTAAAAATCGAATGGATGTAAATCTTTAATAATCCAAAACTTGATAATTAACCCTAATATGAAAAATCGGAAAAAAAAAATGGATAAAACTAGCGAATCAAAACTCAATTTTATCTAAAAAAGGAATCAAAACTAGAAATATCAACATTCTATTTACCGTCATCGGTCGTCGCCATCGTAATCGTATGGATGACGAAACGTGAAGGGGTTGGTGAGAGAATGGGGGGTTAGGTGTGTAATTGCGAGAACGTAAGCGAGGGTCAATTAAAGCCCCCCACACTATCAACACTCTCCTTTTTTTTTGTTCGTTATTCAATTAATGTTTTTATTTCTGTTATTAATTAAGAAATGTTTACTTTTATGATTTGTGGGTTTGGTCATATACACATTCTTTTTTTTAGATGTATTAACATGTAGCACGGATACAAATATTTATTTCGTTCGATATATTTTTAAATAAACGGAAAATCTCAAAATATATATATATATATCGACATCTGAGACTATCATATTAATACTGATTTTTTTGTACATTTTCAAAATAAATAAATATGAATTCGTAATGAACTTTTAAATTCATAACAAAAAAACTAATGATTTCAAAATTTTTGGATATAATAAATAATAGATTTTTTCCGATAAAATAAGGTGGAGGGAGCAGATCGAGGGACACGGATTTTTGGATATAATATGTATTTTTCTCTCTTGATTTTTTAAATAAAAAATTGAGATACACACTATTTTTATTTTAATTATTTTTATTGTTATGTTGAATTGTATTTGATTTTTATTAAAAAAAATATTTATTTAGTAACTTTATATTCAATTATATTTTAAAGTATCAAGATTTTTTATTCTAATAAATTATTCAATATTTTATTTTATAATCGATATAATCTATATTTTCTTAAATCAAAGTGGTTTGGAGTTATCAACTTCTCACCATAAGTGTTGGATGAATAAAAAAAACAAATAGATGTTTTTTTTTTGGGATAACCGAGATTTCTGGATCGAGGTCCAAACTAATTCCGGGGTCGAGAACCAGCCATGTGATTCATGTGATTTAAATGATGTGTTACTTCTCTAATCTGGGATTCGAATTTGGGGTGAGACAGAGCCATGCGTCCCCGTTTCACGGGCTGAACTATCCAGATTGGGTACAAACAGATGTTGGGTTTCGTAGATTATAAAACTCAATGGCTGATTAATGTAACCTATTTATAATTTGTTTTATTTCAAGTTTATTTAATGGATTTGGTTAAAATGTTCTTCTCTCCATGTTGGGGTTAGGAATCATAATGTCCAATGAATGACCTCAGACATCCAAGTCGTGAAACTCGTGTTCTTTTTGGATATTTGTTTTTTTTTTCTTCATATATATTCGAAAACAATATAACTATATTCCTTTTATATATACGAAAACCATTTTCTCTAACATTTTAATCTATTAATGTTTTTTAAATATTTTTCTTTTCCTTCGAGTACCAAATTCATTTGAGAAACAAAAAATTAACATCAGTTTTTTTTTTTATTTAAAAAATCCATTTTAGATTGTTTATCGGTGAAATTGGGATACAAAACGTATATTTTATCCCAAGTTCGAATTTTAAGTTGGGGAGGAGAGGACAAATTCTAATCACATAGTTTATTTTCGATTCCGAAATTAATCTGAACCTCGGCCCAAAATACCCGTTACAAATAAAAGATATACTTTTATATAATCGTATTTTGAATTGAGTGTGATTATAATCTATACGTGCTGCTATATCAAGGAATATGTGCAGTGGCATTTACGCAAATACAACCTCCATTCCATTAGTGTAGAAATATCGATAATTACGATTTGGCACCTATCCATTTTTAGCCAACAAAAAGTTAGATAAAACGTTTATATTTTCTAAGAATACTTTTTAATAGTCTAGTTTATAACATATATATAATATATTCACATTGGTGCGCGTGGATTCCGAACATTGAATATTAAAGAAATAATTTAAAATATATCGTTTTAAAAGTTTTGATGAAAGGATGTGTAATATACCTCGTCCATGTTACATCCACCTTTCTCCATTTTTGATATACGAAGAAGATCCGAGAAAATTATATAATATTACGAATATTTAGATTAAATTTCTTTCTATATTTTAGATATTTATATTTATTAAATCAAATATTTTACAATTTCGTTTTCTATCTATTTAAAATATTTTATATTAAATAATAAGAAATCAAATAATTTTCCATTCGTTTTCTCTATTATATGCTACTCCTCACGCCAACCTCTTGAGTAATAACAAAGAGTATCTTGAGTATTTAACGAAATTGACATATAACTTAATAGCATGAGTCAATTTTCTATTTTTAAAAATAATTTATTTGGATTTTAAAATCTATTGTATTCGATATTATGTTCTTTTTCTTTATCATTTTTCATGTTTTTTTTTATGTATATCCTCAAACTTCACAACAAAAACGGACAAGACAATCCTGGTCACATGTAGTATAAACAAATGAATTCAAATAAATCCTTACGACCCACAAGAAATTGAGGGTAAAGATTAAAATAAATGTGTCCATTATACACGCGTAAGGTCGAGAAATATCGGACCAGAAAGCTTTAATAATTAGGGTGGGCAAAATATCCAAAAAAATTGAATCGGTCTGTTATTCAATTCGTATTCGAACCAAAATTCAGATATTTGGAGTTTAAAGATCATATACGAATTTTTATTTTAAAATATTAGTTGGATACAGATCGAATACGGATATTAAAAATAAATTATCCTATATATCTGATTCGATCCATATTTTACAATAATATTATTAAATATAAAATAATTTGATATATACATTTCAAATGTTTAATATTCATACGTTTTTTAGGAAGATTTATAAAATATTTTATATATATTGAGATTTATAATATTTAATCTTTTAAATATTAAAATATATTATGTTTAATGTTTTGAGTTTTGAATTTCGAATATATTTATATATGATAGATTATGATTATATTTGTATTTGAGTTGACTTGTAATGTTTATATTATGAATTTTAAATTGTAAATATCGCTTTTATTAAATATATTTTATTTGCGTTTGTGTTTATTATTTAAATTTAATTCAAATTTTTATAATATTTTAGGTCGGATATAGATATCCGTAAATATTTATGATTTTTACGGATATCCATAGTTGCGGATATCCAAAAATTGCAGATCGGGTACGAATAACAAAATCGAATATTTGTATAGATCAGATACAAATACAAATATCTCAAAAATACTGGATATCTGATCCGTGTCCACCCCTAATAATAATAATAAGAGATAATCTAAAAAAAAACTCTGTACTTTTTCCTCGTCATAATTTAAATCCTATATTTTTTTATCCAAAAAAATCTTGTACTTTTAAAAAATGGCAAATAAAATTATGTACTTTTAAAAATTAGAAAATAAAATCCTGAACGAAAAAAAAAATTATTTAATGGTGACATGACATCTAGTCACCTACCACATCATCAATCTCTAATATTTAATAATATTAATTAATAAAAAATAAATATAATAATAATAATAACAATAATAATAAAATTTTAAAAATTATACACATTCATAGACACATATTAATTATTATAACCACAAAATTAATTACATATTTATTTTCCACAAAATTAATTACATATTTGTTTTACACATTTATGTGATATATGTATTTTTCCCTAAAAACATTATAACCACAAAATTAATTACACATTTATTTTCCAATAACATATTTTTTTAGACAATTGAACTCATATAAAACAATATACAAATAATAAATAATTTCTTATATATAATGATTTTTAAAATATATATATATCATACATACATATAAAATATATATATATACACATAAATGTGTAAAATAAATGTGTAATTAATTTTGTGGTTATAATAATTAATTTTTATATATGAATGTGTATAATTTTTAAAATTTTATTTTTATTAATATTAATATTTTATTTTTATTAATTAATATTAT